TTACAAACTGCAGTCTGTGGCCTTCTCTCTTTCCTGCTCCAGCAGAAGCAAAACCAGCCCTCCCCATCTCCTCTCAGGTACAGCCGATAAGCCCTCCACTGTCCAGGTGATTACCCATTGGTATGGAGATGAACTTCTGTCCACCCCTGAGGAATGATACAAATGCACTGAAGCCATACTTCTTCTTTCCACCTCTGATCGCCTGTTGATATGGAGATGTACTAAAGCCAGGTGAGATTCTAGAAGTATTACAGTTTTACCCACTCATGAGCACTGGTGGAAGATTCTGTAAAGGTCCAGACAGAGATGGCCTGTGAGCAGATGAAAATGTAGAGCCAAAGGAGGGCTGTCTGGAAATAAGTGGAAGACTCTAAATAGGGAGGGACTTGGTTGGAAAAAGACTACACCAGGCAGTAGTCATAGAGATATTCTGAGGCCTTAAGGGGAGGCCAGAAGAGGAGACCAGAGCTGCCTATTCTGGCCCCAGAGGGGAATTGGGGCTAAGTGGCAGCTGTGGAGCTGGATTTCAGTCAACCTGAGTACCTTTTCCTACAGCTGGAACTGGGGGGGAAATGGAAAGGTCTGGGACAAGGGGCATGCCCCATGCGTCAGGGAGGGGTGTTCCCTTCCATGGAAAACACACCCCCCATGGCCCCAGCAAAGCTGCTTTCCTTTCCTGCCCCAACCCTCCCTTTACCAGAACTCCCACCTTCCAGGCAGCTGGCTAAGCAACCCATTAAGGCCAGCTTCCTAACTCATAAATGAAGCCTTCTGTTCCATGGGTTCTTGTTCACGGAGTCAAAGGATGAACTTGGCAAACACTCAGAGTAGGAGAGCAACGGAGAGGCTTTTATTTAGAGATGAAGCATGAGGACAGAGCTCCTGGCTCCCGCTGGGAGGGAACAAGAGAGTCCAGGGTGGTGCGTTTTGTAGGGGATTTATAGGCGATTGAGAGACAAAGGGCCAGGGATGCAGACCTGCTAAGTGATCCCAAAATGTTTATCTTTGAGAGACATTAAGTTTCTTATGGTCTTCTGCAAAGTTAGCTTAACACAAGAAATGTACTGCTCTGCTTCTCAGGATAGCAGCTTCTTGGTCTCAGAGCGTATCATCCAGGACTGCCTGCTCTACTTTCAAGGTGGGCTGAGTTATTGTCTGTCTGTTAACGAGTATGTTAAGAAACTTTTTAACATCTTGGGTTTTAAAATGCAATCTTATCTTTAAGATGGAATCCTTCTTGGTTTGTTTTTTTATTTATTTTATTTATTTATTTTATTTTGGTATCATTAATCTACAATTACAGAAAGAATATTATGTTTACCAGGTTCCCCCCTTCACCGAGTCCCCCCCACATACCCCTTCACAGTCACTGTCCATCTGTGTAGTAAGATGCTGTAAAATCACTACTTGTCTTCTCTGT